TCAGCGTATCTCAATTTTGCTCAGCACTATTAGAATCAAAATATCTGTATTCTCCAAAGTACACGTATACAGAAATACATTATCGAGAACAATTTTAGTGCAAAAAAAAAGAAGTGTAAACTCCACAAACTCAGAAAATATAACCCCATGAAAGCAGCAGCACAGCCTTCAAATAATAGTCAAAAAAAGGCTTAGGGATGATTTGCTTCTAATAAGATATGCAAAAAGATTCAAATGGTGAAGTACTTCCAGTAACCTTTTAAGAATGAAAGATCTGATTACATGAAAGTAAAATAATATTTTTAGGAAAAAATTCTTGGTCCATGCATTTAAAAAATGCTTTTTATAATCCTCTCAGTTTAAAAAGGTATTTTAAACTTCTTCCTTGGTCACTATCCAATCATGTTTCAATTATAACACAACTGCTAAGCTTTTTGGTTGTTTAAATGATTAAGCAATTAAAATGATAATTTAAGTTGCAATTTTTTAATCTTAAGAAGGTAATTCTGGCAAGAGAATGAAAAATAGAAAGAACAACCTTTAGACTATCCCTTAAGTTTGGGGGTTAAGCTGATATCCAATATATTGAGGATGTTTTTATTGTTAAGTCAGGTAAAGCTCTTATTATAAAATTTATAAAACCTTGAGTACAACACAAAAAAAGAAAGCTCAGTTTTACATAGTGAGAAAGTGCAGAATGCCCGTAAGTTTGCCTTCTTGTAAGATAAGACTCTTTCTTTTATTTTCTTTTTGGCTTGCATTTAATTCCAGTGCCATACCAAAGTAAATAAGAGATCATTATTATTTTTAAAAAACATATTTTTCATTTAAAAATCAGAAAAATGCTTATAATAGAGAAAATATGCAACCTGCCAACCCCAGCAAACAGTCTAAGTAAAGCAGACCAAAGAAAACAAGAAGTTCTGTTTGGAGAAGAGATTATCCTTGCCTTTTACACAGATGAGGAATTCTTTTCTTTCACTTTGAAACCCCCTTCTTATTAAATGTAACTGAACTGACATTAAATGGAAAAAGTTGAAATACCATAGAAGATCAGATCATTGCTCCATTCATCTGATATCTGATGTTGGGCAGTGGCCAGCATCAGATTGTTCAGAGAAAGACAACAAAATTCTTTTAAGAGAATTTTACACTTAGTAATTAAAGGTTTTAACGTAGTGCCAGGCATTACGGAACATCCCTTCTGCTATAAAGTTGAAAAGATCCTCCTTTCCCAAGCTTACTCAGAATGTGAAGTGCTATAAAATCTACACATGTGCTCAGACTGTCTTGAAAGTTGCAGTGCTTGTTAGAATCCAGGCTAGATCTAGCAATCCATTGTCGTGGACATTTGGCAAAAGTACTCCCTCCATGGCTCAAACCCCAGCCCTCAACTGCTGTCAGTCAGTCAACGCTTAGCTCAGATCCTCTGACGAATTTTACCAAAACAACAATTTAATGATAAATTAGGCTTTTAAAATTAGAATGTACAAAGCAGATATGCAACAAACTAAAAATCTAGGCAAGAGCTTTCTGCCAGCTAGTTTTACCAACCTTGTTTTTCTTTTGTCACATTCTCTCTTTGCAATCTGAACCCAACTGTTGGAAGAAATTTGTGACTCTTTTTAGGAAAAGAGCTGCTGTTCACCTTTGTCAATTTTTCTTAATGTTTTTCATAGGTATAAGGTTGACATATATTTGGCCAATGGAAATGGACAAACAGCAAATCAAAGCAAAAGTAGAAAGCAAAGCAGTGAAACCTGTAGGGGACAGTTGATGGAAATTGAATAGACAAGTATAGATACCGGCAAAGAGAAAAAAGTCTGACACTTAGACCAGGAGAGAGAACAATTTTTAAAAGGGGAAAGGAAGTTTGTCAGCCCTGCTCAGTGTTCCTGCACATATGTGAGGAGTAGGTTCCTAGGGGGGAAGAGGTGACTGAGGGAAAGGGATATCTCTCAATGCCTTACCTGAGCTTGACTCAAGGTGCAACTGCAAGTTCATAAGTACAGAAAGAGTTGAAAGCCAAGAAATACTTGGCAACACAAGCCTAAGTTTTGCTACCTTTGAATGACAGTCCAAAAGACAGAATATTACATTCTATCCTTGCAAAAATATTCAGGAACATTCCAAGGACAAGTTATATGGCATTATAAGACAGACTCTATAGCCTTCTCTTTGCTAAGAAGGACTTCTGTTTTACATGAGCCATTCTGGAAAAGAAACGTCAGTACCTCAGCTATGTAACCGAGCTTACTTTGTTTCAACAAGTTACCAAGGGTTAGCTGAGCCACAGTAACTCATTCAGCGTGCTATAAGCCATCATAAAGGTAAACTATTTTAGCCTAAGATAACATGTTTCAAAGTGTGTTTGCCATGTGTTTAAACAATGCAGCTCTGCTGACATGCAGTAATTTGGGCACGTGCCTGAGCTTTCGCGCATGTAAAATCTTCACAGAAATACTGCATCTGCAAAATTTTACAACTGCTTCTTAAAAATCTCCACTGCTACCCATAAGATTCCATCTAAAACTAGGTTTTCACTTGTCCAACACTGAATTAAAAAATCCTTTCCATGAGTTCCAGATTTTAAATGAGTTCCAGTTTTGCCAAGTTCTGTATTATACCAGGCAACAAAATATCACCAGGCAACTTTAGTTCTGTATTAAGTACTTATTATTTGGCAATAAAAACATATTCCTATCTATGTACATATCAAAAGAATTCAACAGCAACTAAGATAGTCCCCTCCTAAAGTCTTTTCCTGCTGTTCTGCCATTTGAGATTCATGTTCAATTACTTGCTCAGCGTGGGTGGACATTTCTAAGCTATGGTTTCATAATCACACAACAGCGCCTTTTTACAGCAGCCTGCAATAAATTTTCTGTATTATGGTGCATTCGAGATCCAACCCCCCCCCATTGCACAATCTAAGCCTATATCTGCACCTGTCTTCACACATAAGAGTGTTGATTATCTTTGTGTCTGCCCAGACTACTTAAAAAATCGTGCTGATTCAGCATAATTAAGTATGCAATAGGTGGTTTCCCACGGGAGATTAGATAAACGTTAAAAAAACCCGACAATTGAAACCAAAAAAGAACCTGAACTAAGGTCATATTCTTAAACCCATTTCTGAGCAAAAGAAAAGCAGATCTAGCAGTATTTCAACCAAGAAGTCCAACCGAGACTTTTCACTTTCTGATAAAATCTACCTAAACAAGGTACACCACGAAAAGCAAGCTATTTTTAATGACAGAAAGCGAAAAGAGCATAAACCCTATAGCCCGCTCTCAAGCGTACGAAATAACGTGTTCTGAAGGAGAAAGCAACTATCGCAGTTGTTGAAATAAAACTTATCAAGGACGCTACCTCCCAAACCAGAAAAATCCCGACCGGAGCTGACAAAAAGACGCAGACCCCCGGTTTGTAGGAGCCGGTTTCCAGCGCCTTGGCTGGAGAAAAGGCGTTTCGGGCTCCCTCCCTTCAAGCTGTGGTAACACAGCGACAGGGGAAGAAAACGGCCCGGGCCGAAAGGGCGGCAGGCTGCGCCGGGCACTTCCCCGCTCCACTCGGGCAGCCGCCGCGAGGGATGGCTGCCGCCCTTCGCAGGGCCGAGGCCGCCGGCGGCCGGCCGCCC